TGAATACCTGTTTAGTTTGTGTGGGGATCTCCAGCTATATACCTCAGCTACATCCATCCACCTCAAACAAATGTCGCCAAGATCTACATGGGAATTATTCACTCAAATGTCTCGTTCTTCGAAGTGAACGATTTCCAAGAATTTCCCTATCATATTCTGTACGAATTCCTTGCCTGCCCTATACAAAGATGTGTGTTTCGCCTATGTTACTAGCTTCTTCAAAAAGAGAAGTCTACTGTGTCAAACATTGGCCTGGAATTAAAAAAGATTTTTCTGAAGTTACGTGTTTGGAGCACAGCGCTATACGAAAGCGAAACATGGTCAGTGGGAAAGCCAGAAAGAAGAAGGGTAGAAACATTTGAAATGTGGTGCTATAGAAGGATCTTGAAAATTAAGTGGACTGGTAAAGTACGAAATGAGCTGGTCTTAGACAGGATAGGCGAAGGAAGAAGTCTATGGAAAAATCTTACGAGAAGAAGAGGTAAGATGGTGGGACACATTCTGAGGCACCCAGGATTGGTTAATTTGGTAATGGAAGGAACAGTTGAAGGGAGGAATTGTAGGGCGAGACAAAGATTGAAATATGTGACGCAGATTTTTGAGGATGTGGGCTGCAAAAATTATGTGGAAATGAATAAATTGGCGCAAGATAGACGAAAATGGAGGACCACATGAAACCAATCGAAAGACTGATGACAAACAAACAACTAGCTTGTAGTTATATTTAAAATAAAACTATGTACTGTGTAATCAAAATATATTATATTATCAACATGGAAACTGAGACAACGAGCTACGAACTACTGCCGCTGACAAATATTAGGCAATGTATGCCTCTCTGCCTGCTACCCCTCCCGATCCCCTGACCCCCTTGCCCCACAGGCTCACTCCGACTACTGTAGATGTAAATCCTACGCAGCCCCAAATGATCGATCCAAAAAATCTGGGAGACTGGACAGTCACGAGACATTTCAGCTGTACAAACAAATTGGAGGAACGGTGTCAGATTCGAACCTGGCACGGATTATTGAAAGAGAGAGCAAGCGAAGATAAAAGTGACTCCATCGATTACAGGGACCTGGCACAGACAACAGTAGCTGTTGTTATTAGAACTCATACCTAGCAACATTTAATTACGATTAAAGTGTGGATGAAAATTTAAAATGAAAAACTCCACTTGAAGACAAGTGTATCTCAGCGCAGAAAGTGTGGAGGAGGCTACCAATGGCGTGAGACAGCGTCGAGTCTCCTAACCCACGACTAAATACGCATCAATCCACAGTTACAACTCGCATAATGGCCAGAACATCGCGAGGTATTTCTGCGGTGCCGAAATATTGAAGTTCTGAACTCGGCCACGCACTGACTGCTGCGCGAAGCGGTGGAGTTCAACAGTCACCCCAAGCACCAGGGCATTATTATGTTTAAATCTAAATTAGACAACATATCATAAACCACTCTGCAAATTAAGTTAAAATATCTCATACAGCAGACTAATCGAGAAGTACAACTTACCGCCATGCCTCAAAGTCGCCAATCGCGTAGTAAATATAACTTATTTATGCCATAATTCACAATTTTACGGCCTATTACTTAAATCTCCGTGCTAAGTACAAGACTTACATCAGTGAAGGAACCATTATTCACAGTTTATTACGTCATAGTAGTTGGCTACTAAATTCTGTGAGAATATCAGTGTACCTTTGAGGCAGGGGTCTGTTTCTGACGTCTGTGCGACTTGACTCTTACCTGCTGGCGGTGGAGTTGACGCTGGTGTTGCTCCTGGACCGCCTATTTATGATGCTGTCTCCACAGTTGACAACACCGCCCTTGTTCGTGATGCTAAATGTCCGTAACCTGTAGAGGTCATCCCCGCAACGAGGGTTGTACGGCTTCTCTGGCAAACTGCACACCCTGGGTCTGATATGGTCAGGAACTGCAAACAACAGAAAGGAAGATATGATTTGATGTTTTCACAGCGGTGAGTATGAAGATTTCTGTCTTCTGGGTTATTGCGCCGTATGGTCTGGTAGATTTCCACCAACGTTTCAGAGGTCATATTGCCTCCATCATCAGGGCGAAACGGTGGAAATCTACCAGACTATACGACGCAATAATCCAGAAGACAGAAATCTTCATACTCACCGCTGTGAAAACAATAAATCATACGTAAAAAGAAAGGAAATGTGACTACTTTTTAACATGATATTTAAATTCGGTAAATTAGACAATCTGAGCTACTAAAGGTGGACTCTGCTCTGTGGAGTCAATTGCTTAGACTCAAACCCTCTGTGACAGCCATTAAAAACATACGTGTCGCAAACATTTCATATAAAAAGTATTCCCCCTGCGCATATGTGTTGCGTTTCTTTTAAACAAGACTGGAAATTCTTATGGATGTTTAAAATCAATTTGGTACTTAATATGTGCGTCAACATATATTACAACAGTTAAAAGGTTTAGATTGACAGTCTGGGGTATATTTTAGAACGTTTCACGTTTAATCCGTCGTTTATTGCTACTTTCCTATTCTTAAATCTCTAAACATTTCACTAAACTCTGCTAGTGTTATGACATACAAGCAAATACATTCCATTCCTGAGTAGTTTATGCATGACGACGACTGCCATCTGGTATGATACGCCCTGTAGTCTTTACCCCCGGGAAAGGACCCCGGTAGCAATTGGATAGGAGGCTGGGTGGGCCCCAGAGTCGGTCTGGAAGCAGAGGCTAGAGGAAAATTCCTCTGCTCCAGCCGGGGATCGAACTCCGGTCGTCCAGCCCGTAGCTAGTCACTACACTCACTGAACTAACCCGACACCTCGTATCTACTAAAATAATGTCGCTCTTTCAGAACTGAGAAAATGAAAAACAAAATTCTTTGGAATAATCATTCTTAATAATTCCTTCCTTTCAGTTGGAACAAAACAGATCAACAAAAAGTGTATGCTCAGAACAAAACGTAGGAACAGGACAAGGCTTTTACAGACAGGCTTATCGTTTTTGTTTTGTTTCCCCCCCCCCAAAAAAAAATCCCCCTCAGCTTATGAATTTAAGAATGTTTTGGAGAAGAAAGTACCACCTCGCAATGAAACGAAGTTGAGGAACAGAATGAACACAGCAAGAGTTTATTGTGTCTTTTAGTTCATACACCTGTCGTTTTTCACAAAATCCATTAATCTGCTGAGAGCATCTGCACTTCAGACTTCTTATTGAGACATCAAAGACTCTTGGTCATCAACTTAGGAGTATGAATACCTGTTTAGTTTGTGTGGGGATCTCCAGCTATATACCTCAGCTACATCCATCCACCTCAAACAAATGTCGCCAAGATCTACATGGGAATTATTCACTCAAATGTCTCGTTCTTCGAAGTGAACGATTTCCAAGAATTTCCCTATCATATTCTGTACGAATTCCTTGCCTGCCCTATACAAAGATGTGTGTTTCGCCTATGTTACTAGCTTCTTCAAAAAGAGAAGTCTACTGTGTCAAACATTGGCCTGGAATTAAAAAAGATTTTTCTGAAGTTACGTGTTTGGAGCACAGCGCTATACGAAAGCGAAACATGGTCAGTGGGAAAGCCAGAAAGAAGAAGGGTAGAAACATTTGAAATGTGGTGCTATAGAAGGATCTTGAAAATTAAGTGGACTGGTAAAGTACGAAATGAGCTGGTCTTAGACAGGATAGGCGAAGGAAGAAGTCTATGGAAAAATCTTACGAGAAGAAGAGGTAAGATGGTGGGACACATTCTGAGGCACCCAGGATTGGTTAATTTGGTAATGGAAGGAACAGTTGAAGGGAGGAATTGTAGGGCGAGACAAAGATTGAAATATGTGACGCAGATTTTTGAGGATGTGGGCTGCAAAAATTATGTGGAAATGAATAAATTGGCGCAAGATAGACGAAAATGGAGGACCACATGAAACCAATCGAAAGACTGATGACAAACAAACAACTAGCTTGTAGTTATATTTAAAATAAAACTATGTACTGTGTAATCAAAATATATTATATTATCAACATGGAAACTGAGACAACGAGCTACGAACTACTGCCGCTGACAAATATTAGGCAATGTATGCCTCTCTGCCTGCTACCCCTCCCGATCCCCTGACCCCCTTGCCCCACAGGCTCACTCCGACTACTGTAGATGTAAATCCTACGCAGCCCCAAATGATCGATCCAAAAAATCTGGGAGACTGGACAGTCACGAGACATTTCAGCTGTACAAACAAATTGGAGGAACGGTGTCAGATTCGAACCTGGCACGGATTATTGAAAGAGAGAGCAAGCGAAGATAAAAGTGACTCCATCGATTACAGGGACCTGGCACAGACAACAGTAGCTGTTGTTATTAGAACTCATACCTAGCAACATTTAATTACGATTAAAGTGTGGATGAAAATTTAAAATGAAAAACTCCACTTGAAGACAAGTGTATCTCAGCGCAGAAAGTGTGGAGGAGGCTACCAATGGCGTGAGACAGCGTCGAGTCTCCTAACCCACGACTAAATACGCATCAATCCACAGTTACAACTCGCATAATGGCCAGAACATCGCGAGGTATTTCTGCGGTGCCGAAATATTGAAGTTCTGAACTCGGCCACGCACTGACTGCTGCGCGAAGCGGTGGAGTTCAACAGTCACCCCAAGCACCAGGGCATTATTATGTTTAAATCTAAATTAGACAACATATCATAAACCACTCTGCAAATTAAGTTAAAATATCTCATACAGCAGACTAATCGAGAAGTACAACTTACCGCCATGCCTCAAAGTCGCCAATCGCGTAGTAAATATAACTTATTTATGCCATAATTCACAATTTTACGGCCTATTACTTAAATCTCCGTGCTAAGTACAAGACTTACATCAGTGAAGGAACCATTATTCACAGTTTATTACGTCATAGTAGTTGGCTACTAAATTCTGTGAGAATATCAGTGTACCTTTGAGGCAGGGGTCTGTTTCTGACGTCTGTGCGACTTGACTCTTACCTGCTGGCGGTGGAGTTGACGCTGGTGTTGCTCCTGGACCGCCTATTTATGATGCTGTCTCCACAGTTGACAACACCGCCCTTGTTCGTGATGCTAAATGTCCGTAACCTGTAGAGGTCATCCCCGCAACGAGGGTTGTACGGCTTCTCTGGCAAACTGCACACCCTGGGTCTGATATGGTCAGGAACTGCAAACAACAGAAAGGAAGATATGATTTGATGTTTTCACAGCGGTGAGTATGAAGATTTCTGTCTTCTGGGTTATTGCGCCGTATGGTCTGGTAGATTTCCACCAACGTTTCAGAGGTCATATTGCCTCCATCATCAGGGCGAAACGGTGGAAATCTACCAGACTATACGACGCAATAATCCAGAAGACAGAAATCTTCATACTCACCGCTGTGAAAACAATAAATCATACGTAAAAAGAAAGGAAATGTGACTACTTTTTAACATGATATTTAAATTCGGTAAATTAGACAATCTGAGCTACTAAAGGTGGACTCTGCTCTGTGGAGTCAATTGCTTAGACTCAAACCCTCTGTGACAGCCATTAAAAACATACGTGTCGCAAACATTTCATATAAAAAGTATTCCCCCTGCGCATATGTGTTGCGTTTCTTTTAAACAAGACTGGAAATTCTTATGGATGTTTAAAATCAATTTGGTACTTAATATGTGCGTCAACATATATTACAACAGTTAAAAGGTTTAGATTGACAGTCTGGGGTATATTTTAGAACGTTTCACGTTTAATCCGTCGTTTATTGCTACTTTCCTATTCTTAAATCTCTAAACATTTCACTAAACTCTGCTAGTGTTATGACATACAAGCAAATACATTCCATTCCTGAGTAGTTTATGCATGACGACGACTGCCATCTGGTATGATACGCCCTGTAGTCTTTACCCCCGGGAAAGGACCCCGGTAGCAATTGGATAGGAGGCTGGGTGGGCCCCAGAGTCGGTCTGGAAGCAGAGGCTAGAGGAAAATTCCTCTGCTCCAGCCGGGGATCGAACTCCGGTCGTCCAGCCCGTAGCTAGTCACTACACTCACTGAACTAACCCGACACCTCGTATCTACTAAAATAATGTCGCTCTTTCAGAACTGAGAAAATGAAAAACAAAATTCTTTGGAATAATCATTCTTAATAATTCCTTCCTTTCAGTTGGAACAAAACAGATCAACAAAAAGTGTATGCTCAGAACAAAACGTAGGAACAGGACAAGGCTTTTACAGACAGGCTTATCGTTTTTGTTTTGTTTCCCCCCCCCCAAAGTGTGAATAGCAGCTGCGTCTTAATTAAATGTAGAAACTCTCAGTACAATACCAATTCATCTTGCGACGCCTGATAAGACCACTCTAAGCGATAGATTGTTTTGCTTTCAAGATTACTCAACGTTATTTCGTCTTAGTCAAGTGAGAAGACAGCTGTAATTACAATGTGAAAGTTGTTATAACTATATTCGTGATAATACTTGTTGCGTTTTAGGTTATTTTAAGACGATGTATCAAATTCCGATGTTATGTACGCTCGAGTAAGGTGTGGTACGTTGGCATGAATGTTGAGTAGAGACGGACGCCAAGACGAAATTTTCCTAGAGGAACTGTGGACAACTATGGACAATTTTTCAGGGTAGTCGGTTCGCGTCCGGGTTTTCTAACTCTGCACAAAATTACCGAGGAAAATTTTGAGGTAGACGCCACTTTCCGAGCTTGTTCAATGTTATGCTGTCCTTGCATCACACCCCACTAACATGTTTAATACTAACAACCAACGCTAACATTTCGCTGATACTTACAGCGTTCATTTATCTGGATAAGGATTAAATAAATGGCCCTTCACTCGCACTGATCCTCGAGTGGAAGTTAGGAGATTTCGCTGTTGGAACATGAAGCAAATAAGTCAGAAAAACTCTGTTAACTGCTCTGAAAATGATTAGGGCACATAAATTTTCTCTTGAATATCGTGTAAACGGCTGTATAAAACATCAAGGCAGTGAGTATGAAATACACGAAGTTTGAAACATTCGCTCTAAATTATATCCCGTGTATAGTGATGAACGCAATTTGTTAATGTACCATTCTCCATTGTGTTCGGAATTCTATGGCATTTCATATAGATGAAAGCAAAACAAAGCTTTTTATTTGTTTTACCTAATCTGTACAACGTTATGAAGTTAATACGATCAATTCCCCAATTAACATTTCGCCAGAACGGATTGCAGTCTTCGGAGCCGTGTTAATAAACTTTATATGCCTTGTCTTCACTTTCCATGATCCAATTACGGACACAAACACTAATTGATGATGTTTCTTGAAATTCGATATAAAGTACACAACTCAGAGGGCCACCCCATCATGGAATTTTAACTCCGTACCGCCGTCATTGCCAGCTGGTAAGACAAGGTAAGTCGCTTTTCCGGCGTCATGTCGGATTGCATCCCAAGTATATTCTAAGCTAAGCGTGGTGTCTAATGTCAGCGTCGGACAATCTGTGTTTCAACACTGCTAGTCATTTTGCCAGCATCGTACCATATCGCTTCCAGAACTGTTTCGTCGTTTGTCATTCTGTCAGCATCGCGACACTCGTCATCATCGGTCCTCCAAATGTAATCATGAGTCAGCGTCTCGACGATATGCTTCGCGACGCTCTGCATCGTTTTGCC